TTATAAAGTTAATATGTCCCAATTTGATGTTCTGTGATTTAATGAGCTTTAAATATCTAATAAATAGCAAGCATTTATAATCATTAAAAAAAAAATTATTGAGCATCGGAAGGCCTCATGTTCTACTGATGTATCGCCTGATTTTTGGGTATCGTGTTCCAGAGCTCTTTGATGAATGAGACCTGGGAGACATTGCGAAGACTTATATGGGTTTCTGCCTAACATTTGCATGTCGTAAATGTAAACCCGAAAATTCCCATCAGACAGCTTAACTGCTTAGTAATTTCACTGTTTGGTTTGGTTTGTCGCTCTACGGTCATTTTTTGTACACTTAAGACCGCCTTCATTAGACAGGGACCTGCATTTTAACGTGGATTCCGAAACACTAACAAACATCCATGACCCAGTCAGGATTCGAATCTGAAGCCTGTAGTCAATCAGTGCTCTAACCAATCGTCTGTCAGACAGCCAGTAATTACAAGGAGATCCATTAAAAAAATAAATTAAAAATATTTTACTTTTAAAATTTTTTAATTAAAAAAATATTACATATGAGAACTATTTTAAACTATTAAGAAAATAAAAATTAAAAGTACATCATTCTCTTAATGTATCTCTCAACAGAATAAATACATTGTGGCACATTTAACGCACAAAAGCCCTACCATTGTCACTCATTATAATAGAATTCTCAAACTACATTAATCCACCTGAACTGAACAACGCAGAGCCAAGTTTATCCCGCATAACTTTTATGCACCATTTCAATGAATAGGAATTCAGCGTCGTTTCCCCGCACTGTCCGAGATCATCCATTTCCGATGGAATGAAGGTGCGCGATGCATTTATCACAGGGAAAATGCGCGAGCCTTCCCCCATAATCGGCAATCGGTCCTGCCATCAGATGCATTTGTGAGGCTGCATGATGGATATAAGTGAATAGGACAAATGGTTGCTCAGAAAGGGATGGGGATAGGCTCTCATAATCAGAAGTTTCGTTCGTCACCCATCGCAATCGACAGCGGGTAACAATTCGCATCTGATTACCGCTGGCAGACAGAAATCCACGGTTTCGTATCTGTCTCTAGGCTGATATTTGATAATCCAAGCTTCAAATATAGCTCTTAAGCTGTGTTTAAAAATTGCCAGACACATAAATTAACGATGCTTAATATTATGTGAGATGAGATTAATCTTATTATCTTTTATTTTTCTTGTTATAAAATATATAGTATGAATTTCGGAATAAGATAAAATATCATTCCTTTTCTTTTTTTTTTTTTGTTTTTGTTTAAATTACTCTATTTCTCCTTTTTGCAGTTTAGAACCAAAACCATTTTCACTTGAAAAAGCATTCAAAAAATATTTTTGTGCATTTATGAGATGGTGACTTTTTCCTTTCATGAAACCTTTCTTAGTTTAAATAGAATCTCAAAATGTGCTCAAAATGTGTGGTAAAAGATGCCCTGAATTAGAGAAAAAAATTTCGAAATATTTGAAAATTAGAAAGCCGGAAAATCTTTTACTGCTCTTTTTACTTCTGCTTTAAATCCATATATCCTTAATGGATTTTAAACATCCTACAAAAGATCAATGTAGTGCAATTATTTAAATGGTGAAATAATATGATAATCCCCAATTAAATTAAATTAAAAAAAGTTTTTAAAAAACCTATAGTATACTACATTTTAATATAATTAATAAGAACTAAAACACCTTCACATGTATATTCAGTGATATGGAATCAAAACCATCAGCCCAATAGAAATTACATTATATACTTTTTAAGGCCAGCCACAGAGCCTGGTTCGAGTCTCGGCGGCCATGGATGTTTGAGCGGTTCGAACTACCGCCAAGCCAGGTCCCCGGTTCCATGACTGTAAGAGAGCGTCACGATACAAAAATCGTGGCTTCTACCTACGGTGCTCCATCCAACAGAAGCTGCTTCCTTTCCCCTTTCAATCATAAGCAACGTATGCACCTCGTGGCCTGGACAGCCAAGTGGATAAGAAACACAACAATCAAATATAATAAACACATATATAAAAATTAACTATTAAAAATTTATAAAAATATAAAGTCAATTATTTTTGTGAGTTATGAAACTCATGATTTTTCTAATTAATAATATATACATACATTAACGACAAGAAAAGACAAAAAATATTTTGAAAATAAACCAAAATAAGCACTAAAAAATTAAAAAAAAAAAAACACTTTTAAAATATTATAACGTTTTGAAAATTATTTAATATCTCATTTTTAAATTTATTTATATTCATTAAAAATTAATATACTTAGTACTTGGTCAGTACTTGGGTGCGGCAGGACACCTGGGAACACTGCGTGCCGTTGGCAAATTTGGGACCTGAATGACCGAGTGTCTAGCGCTCGGTGCCACAGGTTTCGGGTTCGAATCGGCGGTGCCATGGATGTTTGTAGTGGTTTGGAATCCACTTTAAGCCGTAGGTCCTGGTCTCCATGACTGTAAGAGCGTCACGGAGCAAAAATCAGGCTTCTACCTACGGGTGCTCCATCACAACAGAAGCTGCTTCCTTCCCCTTCAATCATGAGCACGTATGGGCTCGGGGTTTGGCCTCAGCCAAGTGGGATAAGAAACAACAAACAACAGCAAATATAATAAAACACATATATAAAAATTAACTATTAAAATTTATAAAAATAGAGTAAAGTCATTTATTTTTAGTAGTTATGAAACTCATGATTTTCTAATTAATAGATACATACATTAACGACAAGAAAACACAAAATATTTTGAAATAAACCAAATAAGCACTAAAAAAATTTAAAAAAAAAACACTTTTCAAAATATTATAACGTTTTGAAAATTATTTAATATCTCATTTTTAAATTTATTTATATTCATTACAAAATTAATATGAAATAAACTTTTCTGCAGCTATATTTCTATAAATTATTCATTTATATATATATATCGATACAATGTTTTTGGATACAAATTATTTGTTTTTTAACTTTTATGCAATTTTATATTTTGTACTAATTTGTACTGCAAATAATTGTAAACACTTAAAAAAATTTTGAAAATTTATTTATTTAATTTTGATAACTTATTTATTATTTTTTTTTAATTAAATTCAAATAGAAATATCATCGTATAAATATATAAATGGAAACAATTTTGACAAAAATACTTTTTTAAAAACATATAACATAATATTTTTAACATTTTCTAATTCAATCTGTTCTATTTAAAGAAATGACATCAGAAAAAATCTGCTCATTGACAATCACCCTTATAACTAATATAATTTCTGAAATCCAACACAGGTTTTTAAATAACAACCATTAACCTGGAATCCTTATATGAGACCAACAGGAAGAATTACGAGAGCTTTGCGTGGCTCTCGGATACAACTGGAGCCGAAGCACGTAGGAGATGCTCTTTTGGATGAAAATGTTGAGATAGATCAAAGGAGGGATCCTTAATCTGGGTAATGGAGAATCAAATTACTCTCAAGTAATATTCCTGAAGTATGAAACTACTCAAAGAGAAGTTGAAAATATTGGGAGCCCGCGCCATCCTGATCTGTGCAGTTAAATTTTGAAATTCTGGTCTTTTCCCTAGGAAGAGGTTGTTAGGATAAAAGGGGCTTTCAACGAAAAATTAGAAATTTGATTTCGAGCAACTTAACTCCGGTTTAAAGAAAAACTGAGGACGCCAGATAATTTTGGGTTATATCTCCTAGGTATTTTATATTACCTGTGCACTTCGAATTAAATTATGTCACATATATTTGAAATAGTTTCATTCATTCCTTCAATAATTTCCTTTTTAAAAATAGGGTTACTTTGGATTATGTATTAAATTTTTTGCTTTTAATAATATATTTTTTTTTAAATGTGTTTACTTTGGATTATGTATTAAATTTTTAACTTTTAATAGCATCATTTAAAAAATTATTTTGATTATGCATTAAATTTTTAGCTTTTAATTGTATCATTTTTAAAAAAATTTAGTTACTTTGGACTATGTATTAAATTTTACCTTTTAATACTATCATTTTTAAAATTTGGTGAATTTACAATTAGTATAAAAATATGAGATAAAACTCCTCCAGTAAAAATATAAATAAAATAAACAAATTAAAATACCATGAATAATTTAGACTATTACGAATATCAAAAAAATGCAATTAAACTTTAAATATTGTATATATTTTTTGATACACGGAACACAAAGTAACCCTCATATTTGTGAATTACTTTTTATTCATTTAAGTTTTAATTCAGAAAAAGAGCAAATTTGAATTGGGAATATTCAGTGGGGGAATTTAAAATTGAAAATTGGTCTTACTTTTGGGACACAGTAGTATACTGGTTGTTTCAATTTTATAATTTTAAAATGTAGTTTAAGAAAAACACTTTATATAATACATTTAATCAAATAATTTATGTGAATTTACCTTTTAATTAGAATAGAATATTTCATCAAAAGTTTATGCGGGTGCAAATGGTTTAAATATTTGCATATTTCGTTAATCTTTTTGCTAATGATTCATTATTGAAAACGATGAAAAGAGCCAGAATTTAAAAATAAATATTTGATGTGTTATTTCAGAAAGGAAATCATATATTGTCACAGTAAAAATGATAGCGTAAAAACAGAAGAATGATTAACAATGGTAACAACAACAACGAAAATGCTAGGTTTCGGAAGTAACACTTTAGGAGAAATAAAAAAAAAGAAATTTGAATCAACAATGAAATTTAATATCAATAGCAATACTAAAAATTTTTAATTTAAATCATTTTTTTTTTATAATCATTTAATTAAACTTTGCATGTCGAATTTTACTAGGTAAAAGACAAATTAATGTTTGATTTGCTTTTTTTCTGCAAATAATATTATTTTAATGAATAAAAAATGTATCATTGTTTTCTATTGTATTCTGATAAATTATTTTTTATTTTTAAGAAATCTTGATAGGGATACTGTATTTATAAAAATGCGACCAACGGCCGTACCATGCTGAATATATACCATGCGGTTCTCGTTAGATCACCGAAGTTGAGCATCATTGGGCGCGGTCAGTACTTGGGTGGGTGACAACCTGGGAACACTGCGTGCCGTTGGCAAATTTGGGACCTGAATGGCCGAGTGTCTAGCGCTCTGGCGCTCGGTGCCACAGGTTTCGGGTTCGAATCCCGGTGGTGCTATGGATGTTTGCAGTGGTTCGGAATCCACTTTAAGCGGTAGGTCCCGGTCTTCTACGACTGTAAAGAGCGTCACGGAGCAAAAAATCAGGCTTCTACCTACGGGTGCTCCAATCACAACAGAAGCTGCTTCCTTCCCCTTCAATCATGAGTCCATATGGGCTCGTGGGCTTGGCCAGCCAAGTGGGATAAGAAACAACAAACAACATAAAATGCGAACTAAACGAGCAACAATATTTTTAGTTTCAATTATAGATTTCTTTCGGAGAATAAAAATTTTTAATGAAAATTAATTTTCACATTGTTTTAATAAAACAATAACTTTCGGAAAATATTTTTTTTTCATTTAAATTTTATTTTGTTAATACTTTGTTTTTGAAATTTATAACAACTATCTTGATTTTCAATAGCTTTTAGTATTAAAAGTATATTTACTATAAAAATATCTTTCGTTAACTTTACATCTCATTACAAAATAATTAGCACTTATTTCTTTGTTATATATGTAAAGATTAAAAATTATCTTTAACAGAAATCTCAAGTAATACAAATTTAAAAAAAAAAAGTATTAAAAAATGCTTATTTTAAAGATAATGTCATCATTTTATTATTGCAGCATGTACATCGATTTTTATAAACACGACCCTTTGTTAAGAAACAGAATTAATAAAGCGTTTTTTTTTCAATTTTCTTTTATGCTAACGACTTAAGAAAAATTAGCATCCTGAAATAAGTTGGCTATGCCTGGAGACTTAATTGATGAAATCCTTTTTAGTACTTTCACTAAGCACTAACCTTTAGTTAAACCCAGCGTTCTAAAGCGCTTAAGATTAGACTAGATGGCGAAGATATATCACGGCATTTAAGGTTGGGTGCACAGTTAGAATTTCCATCTAGAAAAGAGTATAAAACATGTAAGCGTTACTATATACATACATAACCATGACTTTAATTTCCTTAATGAGGGTTTATTTCGTAAAAAAAAAAAAAAAATTAAATACATATTTTTTCTGACGCCCTTAGAATTAACAACAGTGAAAGATAATAATAGTAACTTAATTAATGAATACTTCATAAAAATGCGCCGGTTTTTTACATAAATTAGTCCTCTATACACAAAAGAATGATTAATAGCGTTAGTCTTTGCTTTTACTGCAAGTTCTTTGTTTGCGTTCCATCTAAAGTTATTTGATAAAATTCTTAGCACTCATGACTAAAGCCACCGAAAATTAACTCGTAAGACCCTTTTCAGAAATTACGGTAAGAGGATAAGTAAAATTCAGACAACGGTGAGTGGAACTTAAAATATAACATTTTAAGCCACATTTTGCTTTGCTGAGTATGTTTGACTAGCAGGTTATTAAATTAATGTAATAAATAATGTATACTCAGATCATTTTTTTAATTATTTATTTGTCATATATATTTTTATCAGATTAGTGACATAATGGATTACCATATTTAAAAAAATATAATTTTGTTTTAAAAGAAATAAATATGTATAGCTATTTTAATAGAATTGGAATTTAAATTTTTGATTAATCCTTTTTTACAATTATACGATTTTAATTGATGGAAGTATTGCATTTTTGGTGTTAATTTGCGATGTAAATGTGAAAATAAATTTACAAAACTATATTTTATTAAAATATTTTTAATGTAATGATGGAATACTTATCGTTTTAAGTATTCGGGAAGTACAGAACAGTTTTACATCAATATCGAAAAGCTCTTGTAATATTCATAGGCATCTCCAATTATAAAGTGTCATATTGTGTATAGCAGTTATAAATATATATATATATATATATGAAATACAGTTAGTTAAATTAAACAAATAATTTATGTTAATGAAATTATTCATAGAATTCAATATATTGTAGATATATATATATATATATATCTACAATATATTGAATTCTATGAATATATATATATATACAATATATTGAATTCTGTGAATAATTTCATTAATATAAATTATTTGTTTAATTTAACTAATTGTATTTCATGAATTTAACTTTTGTAGCGGTCTAACAGGAGGCGATTGTGTATTTTGAGTATAGGTATTACCGCATTGTCTCTGAAATGGATATTTTTTATTGCCTTGAAATAGGTCTTGCCGCACTCGCTATACTGTAATACTTAAGTTGTATGGAGGTTCCGATAAAAATTAAAATTATGCTTCTTCTCTGGAACTTACAAATGCATGCGGTCATCATAAATGCATTCTAAAATAAGATTCATAGAAATATGCTTCACACTATTCTCTTTTGTGGAGAAACAGTAAAAGGTACTTTATAATTAAATACCTTGGCAAACAACACATCATACAGATTCTTCAAATTATACAAGTGTATATACATAGATATATAGGGTGTCCCAGCAAGACCGGATAAACTCTGCACAGCCAGATTCGTTGTTTGAAATCCATAAAAAAATGCCCAAAGAACTGCACTTCTGTAATTTAGAGTTTTCGAGAAAAATGAAGAGAAAATGTATGACGTCATGTCCGGTTTACGAAAAAACCTTTATTCGAAACATGAACATTATTATTTTCATAATTTTAAATAGGAAGATGTTCAAAATGTCCCTTGCGCATATGGAGGCATGCGCACATCGTGGAATGGTTGAGTGTACACCTTCTATCATTGTAGTGTCCACAAACTTAAAAGTACTATGGAGATGAGCAACTAAGTCCATTTCTGAAGCAACTGGGTCTCGATAAACCAATTCATTTAGATGGCCCCATAGGAAGAGATCTAAAGTGGTCAGATCTGGAAATCGTGGTGGACATGAAACAGGACCCAGACTCCCAAATCAGAGGCCTGGTACCGTTCCTTCCACTTCGATTATCTTCCTATGTAAACTTATGCAAGTACTAAAATAAATTTGCATAAGGTCTATTAAAGTTACCACATGGCTAGCAAAAGTTGCTAAAGTTACTTAATGTCTCATTACTATTTCTTTAGTAGCTATGTTCATGTTTCGAATAAAGGTTTTTTTCGTAAACCGGATATGACGTCATAAATTTTCTGTTATCATAGACAATTGTTATCCATAACATAATTCCTGTTGTGAAACCTGCTTGTCCTCAAAGCAGACAGACTGGCTCCTAACTCTCATTTGGACTTCTTCTAACGGGTATATGATCATCATAGCCCCAAGACAGAAATGGCTTCATCTGAGAGCAAAACAGATCTCCATTCTGCCAATGAGGTCTAACTTTACATCATTTACATTATAAATGGCGGAAAATTCGGATTTAGTCACATGAAAGCTACAAGGCTTCTAGCTTGCAGCTATCACTCCGGTAATCGATTCTAAATCGTTCATTGTGCAACACTGGTGTTAATAGAAGCTGGGATATCTTCAGAAAAAGTAGCATTGGGCGTTATAATCATGTGACAATTCTCCCGTGTGTGATCGAATGCCTTTCTTCTTGAAATTGTAGCTTCCCGCAGTAACTATTGCACATCGGATGCATCCTTTCCACATTTTTCCTTAATATCTCGAAAAAAATTCATCTTCTAGCCAGTTCACCTACTACCAGTGCTATAACAACAGCACTGGCATTTTGTTATTTTACTGACAAAGTGCAATAGCTATCGAACTCCATCACATAAAATGACACAATGATACATAATAAGACAGAATGCACGCACTTTTACATGCTTGCCTTATAAACTGGGTAGACAATACAAGGCAGATATTAATGTATCACCATTCACATTTGAAATGGCTCTTCTAGCGCATACTTTACCTTGTGACCTTTAATCTTTATATTAAACAAAAATTTTATCTAGGCGAAGGCATTTTCTAAAGTTCCTTCCTTCATTTCTCTAAACTAATCTCTTCTTCGTAATGAGATATCATATTCCATCATTATGTATATATATGTTTTAATTTACATATTTTCTACATTTTAATCATATAAGATAAGATAAAGATAACGATAAGAATAATTAAATATAATAAGTTATTTTTACCACTTACCACAGTAAGACTCTTATTGTACATTTATGGTACCCGATAAGATTGAATGGTGCTTAAATAATAACAAAAGACGCTAAAAAATAAATAAAAAATTTAAAGACGCTGAAAAACTAAAATAAATTCCATTTTAAAAATTTATTTTTTATTTCACATTTTGCAATATTTCTAGGTGGCGTTATTCTAGGTTGTTATATATAAGCTTCCATTTCAGTATTAATCATTTGTAAAATGTTCCATGTCTTACCTCTATGCAAAATTCAGGTTTGTTACAAAGTTTTCCTCTGCATTTTTTACTATTTTGATTGATTGTCGTACCTAATAACGAAAATATAAAAAAAAAATATTTTCAGTTTTTAAATTTTGGTATTTGTGTATATTGTTAAAGTTTTATTTTTTAAACTTATATCTATGCTTCTATAAGAAAATTTCTTTATTTATTAAAAACCTTTTTTTATTTATTCTGTGAGGGTATTTCTTTTATTCTAAAATATATACTATTGATAGTTTTATTAATTTTATAATTATTTAACATTATACTAATATATAACATTTTTGATATAAATTCACAGCATTTAATATTAATTAATTATACATATGAGAAAAAAAATCAATAAAAATTTTATGTAAATCAGTTTTTTTAATCCTTAAACTCTGAATAATATATATAATTATCTCCAGTAATTGATTTTTTTCTTCTGAATATCAAGAACATATTTCCATGTGTAAATGTTGCAACTTTTATCCATTCTAAGGTAATTTATGTAAAAACTAAGCAGATTCAACATTCTTATGGAAACTTTTGGCGTGGAATTTTTCAGTATCTTTTGTAATCCCCTTTTTTTTTGTTTCTTTTTCACTCCGACTTATCAGGTTTACCTACACATTCCTTAAAAAAAAAAAAAAAAAAAAAAAAAACACCGTA